ATTGACTAGTCCACTAATCTTGCACATCCCTGATGCTAACAAACTGCTGCGACACAGGACGGCTACACAAGCAACTAGAGCTTAAAATTAAAAAGTGAGAGACCAACAAATGGTAGAATTGTTGGTGTCTTTGGCTGTTGATAATTAAATCTATAGTAAGTTGGATTTTAAATTGCATGCACAAAAAAATAAAATCTTGAAATATTTCAAAAGTTTTTAAGCTTGGGGGAGGTGGAAAAGGTTGTGTGTCTATTAAAGAGAAATGTGACTAAGTACAATGGAAATGGACTCATTTTATAAATGATGATATAGCATCACGTACTGTCACTACATAGGCCACTGCCGGTTCTCTTTGTCGTCTCATGATGACTTTTAAAACACTCATGTACGCACACAGAGCGGTTACCAGTACTCCTCCAAGAGCAAAGAGCTGTAATAGTAGTTTGTTATGACTCTCTCTTTTCATTGTTTAGTACACTCTCCGTTATTATATATCCATAGTTTGACTAGCGCTCTTTCAATTACATAATCTTTTTGCGCCCTCTTCTTCTGACTGGAGAATTAATGCCATCTACTGCTTATCTCGATGAGTCAACTCCCTGCATTTGAACAACAGCAGTGGATGGAAAAGCGCATTTTCTTTTGGCAATTTTCTGAAAATTCCAATAAAATTTGACAGATACCTACAGCACAGGTTTTGACATTATAATAACAAGGTAATCTACAGTCCAGTCAGTGAGAGGCTGTGAGATCAAGCTTCAAAACAACACAAATCCAGCTGCCCCAAGACATGCTCCTTCTCAACTGCATCCAGTGAACGTTGGAAACATGGATTTGCATCCATGTCACAACCAAACCACATCTGCTGGACATTCCCAGTCATATCAACTGGGATGGGAGGCTAACATGCAAACAGCAGGAGCAAACAACCTTCCCCTCCCTCCCTTCTCATTAACTCTCCGTACATTCATTCATGCATTTATCACACACATAGTTTCACCTACACACACAAACTTAACTGCCTCTATTCTCTGCTCTAGCCTCCTATATCCCACCCTCTACGGAGCCTCCATTTGCTCCCACCCAGTCATCTTCATCCTTCTCTGTCCAGTCACAGTATCCACTCCTCCTCCGAGGGTTGCACACTCAATTGCTGTCTGTGAAGCATGCTTCCTCTCTTTGCTTAGTTTACAGTAATACTCATGATGTCCTGCCTCCCTCCAGCCCTTTTCCATGAAACTTCCTCCTTTGGCCATTTCTCCTGTGCTTCCATCTAATTATCCCTCCCTTTCCTTCCTCATCCTCTCTCTGCGCCTGACCTTCCTAAATCTCACACACTGCACTTCATCCAAACATCAACTCTTATAACTGCCTAATCCAACCCATGACTTCTTTAAAAGCTGACTCTCATGTTGTCTCTATTTCCAGTCCAGTTTTTGCTCTCTCCCTGGCCTCCCTCTTGTATACTCCCTATATTTACCTTACTTAAGGCTTTTAGTGACCTTTGGTATTCTCTCTCCCACTCCCTCTTAAGTACATCTTGTTTTCAAACCCAAGCAGAGCCCATCTATTGGGTTTAAGGCCAATTTTAGGTCACCATCCTCTACCCCCAGGATCTCCTCTCGCTGACCAAAGTGACTGCTTTGTTGTTTATCTGGAGTGACGGAGTAGCAGGGAACCCCTGCTACTTGGTCGATCCAAGTGAAAGACTTTCTCTTCAAACCGGAGGGGGTTGCCTGGGCGACAAGACAAAGGAGAGTAAAAAAAGAAAAAAAAAGAGTGCATGTTTCCACTTCTGTTGCAGACAGAAGGATGGAGAGGATAGGAGTGGAGTGGAGGGGTAAAGGTAGAGTGGCAGGAGTGTCTGCCCCTCTGTTGCTTTGGGCAATCCATTAAAACGATCCCTCCATTAGACAAATGTGAGGGAGGAGGCCAGAGAAAATGGACCGGAGGGGTACAGAAAGGGTTGACTGATCTGGTGCAGGGTGGGGGGTGGAGGGGTAGTGTGACTAGCAGGGGACAGGCTGTGACAGAGTTGGGTCGGAATCAGGATTGGATATCAGCTGCTACAGAGGATGTTTTTATCCACTTGGACCAATTTGGCAGCAGTTTTAAGCATCTGGTGGGAACTTAAGATGAAGTACATTTTCTGTGCTTCTCTTTTGCACCTTGAGTCTAAATTTTGCAGACGTGGGCTCTCAAGGGTCTTTTTTACCTTGCAAGACATGTTAATTTCCTTAAAATGGTAAGCGAAGTGGTGTGAACAGTACATGAGATAGAATGTCAAAAAGGGGGTAGAAAAAAATGTGAGCACTACAAACTGTTTAAAACAAGCATGAAAGAGCGAGGCACAAAGGGGCCAAAAGATTTAGAATAGACTACGAGAGAGAGAGAGAGAGAGAGAGAGAGAGAGGGGAGGGATTGAAGAGTACAGGATATCATTAGCTTTCATGCCCAACGCAGGTGACTAGCACAGGAAGAATGGACTAAGTATCTCTCCTTCTCTCCCACTCTCTCCCAACAAGCAGGACCCATTCTAGAAATGGAAAGAGGGTCTAATAAAAGGTGTGTAGTGCTGGGACATGTCCAGCTAGCCAGCTGCTTCACTTGTATAAGAGAATATTCAACTATAAATTAGCCTTAAGGCTTCCTCTGGCTAATTTGACAATGTTAATAGCACTCAAATGCTGTCTGTTTTTTATTTCAATATCAAGCAACTGCTTTACGTTTGAAGCGCTCCATAACTACTAGATGACGCATACCCTTTTTCATGCTCTTTTACTACAGCCTTTATTATTTCCACTGAAAAAGACACACACCTATAATTTTTCCCATATTACTGTTCTTTTGTGTGCTGTGCATTTCAGGTCTAATTGAAATTAATTCAGATAATGAGTGAGCGTCTATAGAATTTTTAGCCAGTGCCTCCCCCTCTAGATCGAAATCCATTTGGTTAGAAATACAATACAGTCATTCTATCCATTGATTTGTGCTATCCTACATGACATAGCCAAGCTACTATGACAGAGTACAGGTCGTAGGTCACAGCAGACCAATAAACTCAGCCGATGACTAGTTCACTGTCTGTGGTGATGCAGTGCGACTTGCCACACTGATCTGTTTTTTAATTCAATCTTTTAAATCCTGTGTCTCAGTTCTTCCAGGTCTCTCTTTCTAACACAAACACAAAGCCAGCAAAGCCTCTACAAAGCTATGCCTTGCCTGTAACACACAAGTTGCTGGATAACCAATAGGCTGGCAGTTGAGAAGGGGCCTTTGTTTATGTATGTTCAGCTGTTTTTTCTTACTCTCACTCTCCCAGACAGGTAATTCCAGTCCCCACACACAACTGCTCAGTCTCCCATGTGCATGCAAACAGTTTTTGTTTAAAGGTGTCAGTCAACACACAGACTTTCGGGAACTGTAAATGTGAAATTTGGACTGGTAGAAAATAAGTTTTGTGATTTTATATGCAAATGTAATAATTTCACTGTGTGGTTGGATTGTGGGCCTGAAAGAAAAAAACACCTGTAGTGACTAATCTACATCGTGAGTTGCTCAATGAGAGGAATGACTGGGTTCTTAGTCAGTGCATGTTAAATTATCCCAACATGTAAAATCAGTATGAAGCGTGGGTCTGCTCAGGACAGAGCAAAAGGTTTTGGGTAAGAACATATACGAAATGCCTCTTAAACCCCTCCTTTCATTTAGCCCTTAAAGTTTGATTCTTTATAAATCAAATTTATGCTTTATTTTTTCATGCCTGTAAGGAACTGTGCAAAAATAGTAAGTCAAATCTTTCTGTCACCTTTTCCATTTGCTTCATTAAGAAATTACCACTTACCCCAAAGCACAGCAGGAGACAACTACCGACCAAGCATTTTCCTAACCTGAGAAGCCTGTTAGGTGTGATGAAAGAAAAGCTTTTCCATTGCCTCGCTGAATGCGAAACTCTAGCTGTGCTGTTTCTATGTTGTGTGGTTCACTGCACTGCATTCACTGTGTCAGAGTGCCCTCACATGTATTCTACACCCAGCACCAGTCCATGCACACTCTCGCTAAGTTTTGTTTGGCAGTGAGGCACAGATATCAAAGCATGGCTCACTCAGATAGTTACCAGCAGAGAACCCCCTGTCTGAAACAGAATATACCAAGCTCTAGGATAAAGTATGTCTGTTATTATAGAAGCCATGGCTATCTACTTTTATATCGCATCACACTTCCTTTTTTGTCACTTAGCTGATTCTCTTGTCCAGAACACGACATCGAGCAAAGATTTACGGTACTATGAATATGTGAATGTGAAGACAAACCTGCATCTTTAACAGCTACAGTCTTTAAACAGTCTGTTTATAAAATGAACTTGTGTCACCAGAATGATGTGAAAAGGGTAGATTTCTGTCTTGTTTCTTGCCCACAAGTTAAATCAACAGCCCAGAAAGCCAACCCAGGGTTATCTAGCCATCATGTGTACCTATGCCTAGTTTAGACAAAGATTAGCCTGTTTCCACTGTAAGCCTTGTTACCTAGCTACATCAATATTTGTGTAGTTGACTAAAAGTAGACATGCCACAGTGCCTTAAGAAACACAGTCTGGGTAACTAACTATGCACAGCAGTTCACTAAGCTTGAGGCTACCCCGGTCCACACCACAGACTGCTGTTGTTCATTTACCTACTGTATGTGCGAACTGTGTGCACCACATCCACACTGCAGCTCTGTGGCAAGCACATAAAACACCCTGTCTCATTAGAATAGAACAAATGTGTTCACACATGCACAGACACTTTTGTCATGCCAGCCCCTGGACAGTCCCCTCCTTCTCTTAATTTGCCTCTAAAAACACCCCCATGGTGTTAAACACCTCGACCTCTATCCCTTTAACTTGGTGCTTGTGCATAGATAAAAGTCGAATAAAACGTGTGATTCATCTGCCTCTCCTGGTCGAGGATACACTACCACATACACAGTCTGTGACAATGACAAGTGGGGACATTTACCTGCCGCCGGGATGCGGTGCGCTCCGGGAACCGAAGGCAGCCTCTGAATGCCGGAAGAGGCGTTACTTCCTGGGGCTCGAGACTGGTTCTCCGGGTGGTTGCTGTGAGCTCCAAGCGGTGCGCAACCGGCACCGTGCTGCTGCTGTGGATGTAGTTGCTGCTGCTGATGGTGGAGGTGGTGGTGGTGATGGTTAGATCCCATGACTCCGCTGCCGGTAATTCCATTCCCATTCCCACCACCGTACTGCTGGTAATATCCAGACCGAGAACGCGATCGAGTCCTTGGGGGCTCCATGGCCATTTGGTGGGGGTGGTGAAGTGGATGGAAGAGAAAAGAGGAGGACGCGGCTGGGGACTGTGGCGGAGAGCCGTTGGTGGATCCGGGCTGTACAAAGCCCCTAGCGCCGCTCTGGCTGTAACTATAGCCCCCGAGTCCTCTGCCCCCCTCCGCGCCCCCGTACTCTGTTCGCTCCGCCGACTCCGCCGCCCCCGCCTCGTCGAATAAATCAGCCCCTTTAGGGACAGGCTCCGGTGTGGAGGGCAGCCGGGGGCACACTCTAGGCTCCTGAGTCGTTGGCTGTCCAGCGGCTGCGATTGGCATTTCCTTTCGGGGGATTTCCTCTGTTTCTCTTTTTCTGCGTTTTTCCTCCGGTTTCCTCTCACAGAAGAAGCTCTTTAGCCACTGTGTGAAAACACAAAGTTGGAGAGAGGCTAACAGTCAAACTGGGCTCTTTGGTACTGTTCACACAAACACTTAACGTAAACCGCCTCTGCTTATTTAGATAAGCATGTGTGCTTTAACTTGGAGGTGTCTACTTCCCTCAAGTTTGTCGAAGTAACGTTACTAAACACAACGTGATTCCCCAAACTGGTTCAACAACTAACTAAACGACGTCCATTCGAGAAAACATCGATACTCTCTCACTTTTAACTAAACTCTACTGTGACCAAGAGGCAATAACTTGGGTTTAAAAATATCAGCTACTTCTACATGATAGTAGCGTTAAATATCATGGTTCACCGGCGACGTTTAGTTCACAACAACCGAGCACCGAGTACGGCCGTGGCTCGCTAGCTCACAGGAGGCTAACGCTGGGGGGACATGCTAACGTTAGTGCGCATAGCATACTGTGGTAAACGCGTTATGACGCTTATTCTAACCGTGTAACAACCGTGTTATCATACCCGATCGCTTTCTCACAACCGTATCAGTCCCCAAGACGAGTTTAAGCCAACTTTACCCACTTTAACAACCATTTAAACTTGTTTAGTCAGTCTGCGTAATGTCGTTCACTAGCTTGGCAAGCCAAACCAACCCCTCCTCCTCCACCGACCAACACATAGAAAAATCCCGTAGCTAGCCACCCACGCCTCGAATCCCTTTAAATTGCTTGGTTAGTAGTAACAAAACAAAAAGGCTTTTTAAAAAAACTTACTCGGGGTGATTTCACTGAGCTAGGGTGAACCGGTAATGTTTTCCCAGCTGGGAAGGGGCAAACAGCAAAGCGCACAGAGGAAGATAAAAAGTGGTCAACCTAAAATTACAAAGAAAGAACCACGGCTAAAATTAACACGATCTTAAGGAATGACCCCGCCTCTGAGTCTACCGCTGAAACCCGGTCTCATTTCCCTGCCCTGAGTAGTTTTTCACAACAACTTACCTTCAATGTGCTCTCCTCGACTGTACTCCTGACTCGGATCTGTCGATAATATGGTGAGCCCAGCGTGTGAGTGTATGCGAATGTGTGTGTATGCGCCCAGTGTTCGCTTGGTGTCAGCGTGAAATGTGACAGACCGTCAACGCTCAAGTCGGATTTCACCAGGCATGCCCAATCGATACTGGAAAACAGAAAGCGTTTGTAGTTGCTTTTAAGCACACGCCTCGCCAATACAGTCACTGAGAACAAAACAACACGAAACTACATCTAAAAGTGTCCATTATGGTCCGTTTTCATCCACTTTACCTCAGAAACACGAGTTTACCGGCATTGTGAACCTGTGGATGATCGGCGATCGATTATGCTTCCTGTTAAATCAGAAGCTGCGGATAGCAGAGAGGCAGGCTAAAAGGGGCTTTAAATTATTTATTTACAAATACCAAGCCTACCCATTGCAGCTGTTTCTTCTGGAGCCCGAAAGTTCGCCTTAAGAATAACTATTCGCTGTGTTTGCAAAAGTTGCGTGCCGTTTTACAGCGGCTAGAAAACAAGACGGAGACATAAAGAAAATAAATAGCCTAGTGACAAACGGGGAAAAAAGAGCACGTCTGAAATAAATTGGCCTAATTCAATTCTCACCATCAAGGCAAAAGGGAGGCGAGTCTGCTTGTGTGACACGCTGCTTGTGAGCAAAATATCTCAACGGATAGAACAAGTTTGTGCATGTGTCTTCACCCCCACGCTCACAATTTTTGCTCCTTCTTACATTAGTGAAATGTACTGAGATATGGCAAATTCTCACCAGCAATGAATGAAACCAGAGACTGTTTTTTTATGTCAAAGGTCACGATATGGCCTGCACAGAAATGTATGTGTATGCCATATTGTGTTGATATTCTGTGCATCCTCTGTGCGAGTTTGTGAGGGGTGTGATGGATGACATGTGAAGGGAAACATGCATGTGATCTCTGTCTGCCTGTCCTCTCTCTTTCACACACACACCTAAAACCCATCCCAGTCTTTCTCACCTCCCATACTATATTCCCTTGGTCTTGTTCTCTCATTTCACACACACTCAACCCCAACCCATCAGCACCACTCCTAATACACACACACACCCAACACACACACACATTCTCTCCTCATTACACTCCCTTTCCCTACTTTGATGATATGCAAATATCCCTCCCACCCTCCTTCCCTCACTCCTTCTCTCCTCCCTCCCTTCCTCCCTCCCTCCCTCAAGCAGCAAGCCTGCACACACACATACACATCACACACACTCACACACAGGCTAATGCACTGTGGCAGCGTCCACAGACAGGCGGGGAGGATCAATTTTTCACCCAGTGTGCTACCGATATTCATAAGATAAGGCCACAGAAGAGAGAGGAGAGAGTGAGGAAAGGGAGGGAGGAGAGAGAGAGGGGTGGGGGAAGGAAGGGGAGCAGCAGAGATGGGGATAAGGAAAATGGCGAGTGGGTGTAATGAAGGAGAGTCTGAAGAAAGGGTGTCCAGGAAAAAGGGTGAAGCAGAGTGAGAGGAGAGGGGAAGGAGGCTAGGGAGGATGAACACGGGTGAGAAAGTAGAGAGGGCGGGGAAGTCTCGTGGGTGTGCAGGAGGGTGGAGGCAGGATGAGTAAGTGGGTTAGGGGTGGTAGGAAAGGGGGATGGGGTGGAGAGGGCTCTGGGGGATGGGGTTGGGAATGGATGGGGTGGTAAGGGAAAACGAGGGATAGTGTGTGTGTGTGTGTGTGTGTGTGTGTGGAGGGGGGTTATTTTGCTGACGTGCTCTCTTATTGGCTTGTTCAAACGCTGGGGGAGGGGCAGCCACAAACCATACTCTCACCAGCTGTAGGGAAGAGCAGAGAAACAAAGAGAGAGAGTGAGAGAGAGGAGGGAGGGGGGCAGATATGTGTTTTAATGTTGATATTCTGGTCTAATTAGATTCCTGTCTAAGTGGCGGAATGAATGGTGCTGATCAGATAGAAATGGGCGTAGTAGAAGAGGGCGCAGGCTTTTGTTTGAGTTGGAGAATTCTGTTTTTGGTGAGCACAAGGGGTTCTTGATCTATAATTCAATTTCACTTGAGAGACAGAGAGAAGCAAATTGCCAACACTGTCTCTTATGGACTCAGATTTGTTCGTATTGTGTGGAACAAGACTGAATGTCTTCTGAGAAACAGCTGAATTTTAGGTGACACGTCATTCCTTTCATACCTTCCAGCGTTGCCTAGCCTACTCATTACGCAATATGTTTTTGAATTCGATATGTGACAATAAGGCGTTTCAAATGATCCAAGTGGTTGAGCTTTGACACAAAGTTCACTACAAAAAGAAAAGCATATGGCCGTACACTCTACAGCATCTACCTCGTCCATATGTATAAGTGTAAAAACATTGACTTGCCTTTAAACATGTCCATAAATTAAAAGAAAATTAAGTAGAACGCACAAACAGCATAGAAAACGAAATACCATTCCAGCACACACAAGAAGGCAGATTGAGAGCCATGTGTTTGTGGAGCCCAGCTGAACCCCGCCTGCTAAACCAGTCCGCTGGCTGTGACAGACTGACAGGCAGGGAAATAGAGAGGGTGGTGTGTGTGTGTGTGTGTGTGTGTGTGTGTGTGGTGTGTGTGTGTGTGTGTGTGTGTGTGTGTGTGGTGTGTGTGTGTGTGTCAGAAGGGAACACGAGAAAAACAGAAGAGAAATTGAGACAAAGAGGCAGATTGACCAACGCAGACGGACACCAAAAATGAAACAGAAAGGAGAAGAGACAAACAGGAGAGCCACAGCGACATAGACAAACATCCAAAGAGAAAACGAGAGGGACGCACACTGTAGTCATACATGGAGAATGAGAGAGAGCGAGCAGAGAGTGGAGGAAGCCAAGCTTTCTGTGGCTTAGCCAGACTGGAGCGGTGGGACTTGGCTGGCTGTGGACCCTTGGCTTCACTATTAAAGCAAGGAAGAAAAAAAATCACAGTCAAAAAATGAAAAGGGCAAAGAGCTATGCCAAGAATGCACAGGCAAGAAGCAACACATTAGGTTCTTTCCTTCTGCCTGCCTCTCTGTTTCCCCCAAGCAGATCTAAACAATAGGTGGGACCAGCCATGAGAACCCTACTGAATGACTGAGGTCGACTCTCTAAGTTTGAAACTGTGTATAATAAGCGTATCATCCTCTTTATATACTGTTTTCCTTTTTCTGTTTTCTCCTAAGTAGCTTTAAGGCTGTTAAAATCACTTTATTCCAAACAGTTTGGCTGTGTCATATACTGTATATTCTGTATCTGATTGTTCCAACTCTTGATGAAGCTTGACGTTTACTTAAGAAGAAAGAAAGAAGTATTTTCAAGGCTTCGTCATTCAGTCAACTGGAAACATTTTAGATATCTTGTTCATCATTTTATACACATTTTCACCAAACTCAGTCTCACATTTTGAGGGCCTCTGAAAATATTGCAGTCTCCATTAGTCCTATATGGGGAGGCTGTGGCTCAGGAGGTAGTGCGGCTGTCTACCAATCGGTAGTGATAGGATAAAGTATCTTTGAGTAAGATACTGAATCCCCTCCCGATGATATCTGATGAGCAGGTTGTACCTTGTGTGGTAGCCTTGGCCGCAGTACTTACATTTGTGTGAATGGTTCCTGCAGTGTTAGAATTTAATGTAAAGTTCAGCAGGTTTAATCAATGTTCGCTGCATGGCCTGAGTTTGTAATGACTGGCTAACTAGTCGGTCACACTGTGTGGTCTCTAGTGTCACTGAAAAAGTTCTAGATCATTTATTACACTCTGGAAATATCCTTGTGTGTGTTGTGTTAGAACAAGGCAATTTTGCAGCCACACTAGTGTGCTGTACTAAGCGAGCCCCCCAGAACAGTGCCAGCCAATTGAAGGCAATTTGACATAGTGGCCAAACCGTGGAACTACAACTTTGAGGTCTATCGCATGATGCCATTGGGCCTAAATATACTTTTTCCTATGGACTTATACTGGGAAAGAGACATCTGTAAATCAGTGGATGCATTTTTTCAAGCAGGACAAATCTTGCGAAATATCTTGTTTCACTATGAGCCATTCGATCTGATAACATTTAGAAAGTCCAGAGGAGCCGCACAATTAAATCACAACATTCCCATTCAAGTTAGTGAAGGGCTAAACTGGAAGTTAGCTGCTCGACCTACAGAAGTCTCTAGTGCACTTGCTTTATGTGATGAACAATACTGAAGATTCGTTAAATTGTATACCCAGAAAGTTGAACTTTTTTGGGTTCATGCACCACTGAGCAACTTTCATAGGAATGAACCGGGCCCCACCTCCAATGCTGTATCCAGTTCTCTTTATAAAGTATATCCATGGCACTTAAGCACCGCAATGGTTTGAGCTAAATGCTAACATCATGTTCTGCGAGTATGTTGTTGGCCGTGCTCAACATCTTAGTTTAGTGTGTTAGTATGCTAACATATAATCAGTAAAAATAAAATAGTATAGCTGAGGCTAGCTGAGGCTGATGTGAATGACATTAGTTTGCAGATATTTAGTCATAAACCAAAGTAGACCTATAGCACACAGATGTGACCTGATCATGGAGCTAGAAGAAAATTCTGCTTCTCCACTTAGGCTATTGTAATTCATTCAGAGGGAGGCACAAATGTCTGTACCAAAATGATGCCAGTCCATCTGGTAGATAATGCAGTATTTCACTGAACAAGTCAAAATGGTGACCTGCTGGTGGTACTCAGTGAGAAGTATCAGATTTCTCGGCAATCCATCTAATAGTTGTATAGATGTTTTACTAAAAGCTATGGCAGCTTGAGAAGAAATATCAGAGGATCTTCAAAGTAAGTAAGATTCAGGGTAATTTATACTCCCTTTATGTACAAAAATAATTTTAAAAGTAAACGTCACTGCCCTCAGACTTTCATTCGTCCTTTATGATGGCTTAGATACAGCCAATAGAAGGCACTTGAGGGCAGAGTCAAAAGTTTCACACAATGACAAACAAGGTAATGGTGGAGGACGTCGAAATATTGTACCTTTAAATGGAAGCAGCATTGTAGATGGCGGTGGTCTGTGCGGCCATTATGAACATATATCCTGACATGTGGACTGAG